TGACCAACAGTGTATACGCTAAATACAGTTTTTTGTCGGCAATTTTAACCTTCGCTATTACTTTTGAACGAAGAAAGATAGAGACAATATTTTTGGAATATATACTTCAATAATGAAGCACATTCACATGCCATAAAGGTCAATGACCTTGTGACCTTGACTGTGCCCTATATGCTAAAAATAACTCGTTTGGAACTATGAGAGATAAAAACTTCATATTTAGTATGCATGCTTCACTATTCTCGTTCTTTGTGACCTTGACTGTGACCTATATACTATAAATATGTTTTTTTTCAACTTTGTTGCCGCCGGGCGCATAGTGTTTCAAAAAACACATCTTGTTGATAAGTATTAAAATCTCCATGGTCAAGGTCCAAAGGTCAAGGTAACTCATTCAATGTAAGGTCTTGTCACATAGATTACATACTGAGAATGTAAAGGATGGAAGTTTGGGCCTTTACCGTTCAAAAGTTATGGACAAGGCTAAAAAAAATTTAAAAGTTGGTCAAGGTCAAGGTCAAAACGTCAAATTTGGTAGTTCAAAAAGGAAAGTCTTGTTACACGGAGTACACACGTGAAATATGAAAGTCATAGCCCCATCAAATCAAAAGTTAAGGACAAGATTAAAGTTTTCACGGCCAAACAGACAGAGATGTAAACGGACGGACACGACAAAAACTATATACCCAAAAACTTAGTTTACGGGGGCATAATGAGGTGCAAACTGGCAATATATAATAAAGATTCTGTTATGGACTCATATTTTTAACATCGAAACTTTGCACTTTTTAAAGGTAATAAGATTTTTCAAACGTTAAACTTATGATGTGAACTTGTAAATAATATTACCGGTATATAATATAAAATGTATACATATGCAAATATTTTCCATTAAAGTGAAAAAAAAAAACTTATGCAAAAATAAATGAGAATACTAGTAATCATAATGAAAACTTGTTAATAATATTTAATATAATATTCATACAAAAGCAAATATTTGCTTTGCCATTGAAATAAAAAAATTCTTATGCATAAAGAAAAAGAAAATACTAGTAATCTTATTGCTCCTGTGGCCTTTCCAACTTTAAAAGGTCATTTGGGCTGAAGAAATAAGAAAAATTAAAAAAAATTTAAAAAAAATTAAAATGCAACCAGCCGGTATCGAACTCACGGCTCTCTGCTTGTAAGGGATACGTTCTAAACACTACGTCAAGAGTTCCAACTTCCTGGTTGAACAAGACAGTAATCCGTACTAAATAGTTTTGAAAAATACGATTGGTGTATAATAAAATTGCAGATTTTCTGCAAAAAAAATTATTTCGATTTGTTTAAGCTTTGAACAAATCGAGTTAATAATTGAAAACCTAGGATACAATAGAACTGCTGAGTTTATACTTTGTTTACAAATATGCGACAAATGTCGCATTCAGTTTGACAGATTATGTTATAGGTGACATTAGATATACATAAGCCTAAATATAAGAGCTGCCCTTTTCCCGTTTCCCAATGTAAAATATACTGGAAATATACCCCACGCACTTGGCACCACTGGGTGGTGCCACTACAGCCCCATTCTGAAAGTGGCAAATGATAGCCCTAGGGCCCCTCTACCTTGCCCCAGTAATCAATTGATGAACACTTCAAGGATAAGGCGTATAATAGCTGCCCTTTTCCCCTTTCCCAAAGTACAATGATGAAAAACATCAAAGTTCAGGTTAGCAAACTGGAATCTTCCAGCCCCCAGGACCCTGCAGAAATCTGTCAAGGGATACCCCCTAAGGCCCTCTACCCATCCCCAGTGTTAGTTAATTCAGGAGGTCGACAATGAATAAGATATGAGTGCTGGAAATATGCCCCACGCACTTGGCACCACTTGGTGGTGCCACTACAGCCCCATTCTGAAAGTGGCAAATGATAGCCCTAGGGCCCCTCTACCTTGCCCCAGTAATCATTTGATGAACACTTCAAGAATAAGGCGTGTAATAGCTGATCTTTAATGGCGTTTTCGGGATAAAATGCAAAACAGCCAAAGTTCAGAGTAGATAACTTGCCCTTTCCGGTCCCTGGGACCTTTTGAAACGTTAACAAGGGATTTTCCCTAAGACTCTAAACTTAATCACCAATAATTTATGACAAATTATTGCTTGAAATATGACCCATGCACTTGGCACCACCTGGTGGTACCATTAAAGCCCCTTCTGATAGCAGGAAATAATCATCCTTGGGCTAGTAATTTTGATCACTTTATAAATCATGGGTATAATACCTGCCTGTAATATAAAAAATGCTTTTGGAACCACTTGGTGGCACCACCACCACTTATTACTGATAGTAGTAATTTACAGTCTTATAGATTCATTAAGTTGTCCCAGTAATAATGTTTGAAATATACTTCAACCTAGTTTATACTTGTGCCATATTTCTGTTTACAGTCGTTATATATTAATCAAATTACAGGTTAGCTTATTGGCCCTGTCATTATCTTGAGGTCCCTGAAGGAGCTGAAAAGGGAGGGGTTATCAATTTCCTAGTGTTTGTTTGTTCAATTGGATAAAAATTATAAAGTAATTTATTTCTTATTTTTCGGTTTTAAAAAAGAAAAAAAATTGTTCAGGTGAGCCTTACTGCCTCTGAGTATCTGATTTATAATGTAATTAATTGTTGCATTAATTTTCTAATCATTAACCATTAATTATCTAAAATAACGTATCAAAAACAGTACTGCGTCTGAGTACTCTCAGTTCTTTGATGAATTTCCTTATTGGCTGCTAGCTTCTACGCGCTTAGTGGCTGCTGTTATTGGCTGCTAGCTTCAGCCTGGTATGTCAATGAGCGCATTCTTATTAACTGTTCTCTCCATTTCTATTTGTACAGGTATATACATATATTCACACGGTATGATGTTCATAAATGGATTCAGTTCATTAAAGAAATCATTAATTTACAGTAAATAGTTGATTTATTTACACAAAAAACATTCTTAATTGTTTTCCTGACACCAGCGTTTCTTAAAATCACCTAAGATATGACAAGGTCCGCAGTCATCTTAAAGTTAGGACTAAGATTAAGAGGTCTCCTAAGATAGGATAGCTTCGATGGCCTCACTTAAGACTAAGATATGTCGTAAGTTCGTCTTAAGAGATGTCTTAGTCCTAAGATAGATTCATAAGCATGCCTGCAGGTTTTCATTTTAAATTAAGATTTTACATTCTCATCGAGTTCTAGAGCGGAAATACACGTTTTATCAGAATTAAAGAGAAACCTTTTCTTTTTTTCCAAATAATTATAGTTTTTGAAAGTTCGTAAAAAAAAAAATCTATTATATCTATAGGAAAAGTCATTCAAAGATGTCTTTTGAAAAATCGGGTAGGCGATAGAACAAACGTTCGCGGTTGCCTTCCCCACTAAGACTTCTTTGTTTGTTGAACACATTCAACAAATTGTTAATTAAAATATAGAAAATTTTATACCAAGCAAATCAAGTTTTTTGTCTACTGTTCACTGCAGGGGAAGGGGTGGGTGACCGTGGGTGAGTGAGCAGACTTCACAATGCTATTCATATAAATAGTAAAATACAGATCTGTGTCTGTAATACATTTCTTCTTCAGTGTTATTTTTACTAATGAATACAAATGTACTTGTACTTACGTGCATAAATAAAAATGAGTTGAATTTTATTCAAACGTTTTTAGCCGTGTCATTGAAACATTTCCAAGTTGATCATGTGCATGTTTTGTTGATATATAACATTAAAATTAAAAAAAAAAAAACAAACAAACAAACAAAAAAAACTTCACCTGACGAAGAAAAATAATCAACAAACGCGAAACACTTTTCCTTCGTATTAAATGCTTAAATTATAAATTCCCTTTTTAGATCCGGCATGCACTCGTTTCCCATTATGTTCTTGTATTTTAATTTATTTTATATTTGGTTTTAAAAAAAACGCAACTACATGTATGGGTGTTTAAAAAATTGTAAGGAAATTAAAATATTATACCTAATAATTAAAGTATTTTATGGTAAATATAATTAATCTATCACCATTATCATCTGATCAGGGTGGTCATGTGTGCTTACGGCGATTCGCAAGACTGAGCAATTATTCGTATCGATAGAAGCCAAGTCTATCGTAAAACAGCACGATGGGGGTATATCAATGTAAACAAGTTTCACACCTTCTTTTGTTTACAAAGAATCAAAATAATCAACTGGAATTTCATGGATTAATATAATATTTAAATCAGAGACATCAATAAATATATAATGTCTCTGGTAAAAAGACCGCATATTCTGACTTGAAATGTAAACACATATGTATGTCTTACGATTAAATCCTGCTGTATCATATACGAAAGTATTTATAAAAGAAAGAAGAAAATTAAAATTAACAGCCAATATTAAATATAAATAGAGAGTTTCATAGGGTGCTTGGTTGCCCGGAACGTTTTTTACGGCCGGAACCAATCTTACGCGGGCCGGAACGTTTATTATGGCCCGGAACCAATATTATAGGTATTTAGCGTTCCGGCCGGAACGCCAAGTTACCCGGAACGTATATTATGCGACAACGGACGCCAGACAAAATGTGATCAGAAAAGCTCACTTTTTACAGGTCGGTAGCTTTTGTAATTTTTTAATCATGTCTAATCCTATTGTACACAATTAACAACTCCAATTAACTTGATATTTCACTAACCCAAAAAGCTTGTTTCTGGTGACAAAAATGTTTTGCTGCAATGTTGCCGCAATATAGCAGCAATATTGCTGCAATAATTTTACTTTGGTAAGGGAGCTAACTATACTTCACTAACTTAATTTACTACCTGTACTAAATAATTATACTAAATAAAATGAAAAAACAAGTAACTGTCACTCTGTGACATTTCCAGTAAAAAAAATTATTTGTTTATAAAATCTCTATAAATAATTTACTCAGGTCAATAAAGGTATTGCCGGGCATTATACCCCCCCCCCCTTTCTAAACTGGTTTCCAGTCTCGATAAGAGAACCAATCTCCAAACATCCGTTGACCGACTTTCACATTTTGTCACGTTTTTAAATGTGTGTATGTGTGTCATCTGCATTGATTATGTAACAAAAAGCAATGAATTATACAAACCACAGGCGTTTTAAATGAAAGATCGAGGAATCATAACTTAGAACTCGACATTTTTCACGGAAGTCGGTAAGACAGATCTTTTTTAGATTGTATGGTACAAATTGAATTGGAAATTGTCCAAAATTGATTCAGTTTTGTAAATTAGGCATATCATATGTAACTGATTTTAAAATAAATGGTTCATTGTTTTTGTTTAATTTACATTAAGAAAAATTCTCGCTAAAACGTCAAGGTTTATCTTGTCGAATTTCCTCAATCACTGAGATATGTAGATATAATTCACAAGACAAGGTGATCTTCGTTTACTTGAAGTCCTACGAGCTGACAAGATCACACCACAGGAGTTGGCAATTTTGTCAATAAATAGAAAATAAATGGTAAACAGGCATAGACCCTATCACTATCGGTGAGCTTCGCGAGCATAGCGAGCTCCTGTGATCACACCTTAGTCCTAGGTCATTATAAACATGTTCATGACTCAATGTCTTCTAATTCTTCTTCTTCCCTACATGGAGTGTACTTATGCCCTGTTCACACGGAGAGTTTTGTTCAAGTTAGACGTAAGTTACTGCGAAATAGCTTCGTTTAGCGTTCACACAGAGAATTTAATGCGAATAAGTTTAATTTGAATTTACTGCGCATTAAATGACTTCGCATTAACTCCGTGTGAATGCTAAGCAAAGTTAATTCGAAATAAATTTTGACACATGCATAAGGCCAGAATCCAGTCTCAATACACATGTTGGTGGTTAGATTTGGGTATCTGTGCTATATTTGGTTCAAAAAGCAAGGGAAAGTATGTTAATCACTAAATGTATACCTGTAGCCACTATGATTCTTATATCAAATACATGACGTGCTTTACAAATGGTATCATAATAGCCTCACTGAATAGCCTTTTTGTACATGTTGTAGAAATAAATTTTACTTTGCATTAGTTTATTTCATTTTAGCTTTTGTGATTTGTGTGAACACAATTTAATTTGCATTAGTTTAATTTGCATTAATTTACTGCGAATGAAACTCTCTGTGTGAACAGGGCATCAAATTGGGTGTAATAACTCCAGCAAATATAATAAAATAGACACCAAACCCAGCTGGTTCAAGAGAACGAATTGATCACCTTAATTGTCAGGCTTGTGGATAAGGTTATGTATTAAACATGAATGATTTCATTGTAGATAATAAACCTTTTGACAATAAGCAGTAAATATGCTGGTTTTTGAGGCAGACACAAACAACTTGGCGATATGTGCCATTGTGACGGTCGCAATGCAGTTTTCATTTTTCTTGGTGGCTTGTACATGCAAGTTTGATAAGGTTACCGACTTTGCTGGGGGTACTAATTTTGTGGTTCTGGGAGTATTGACCTTTTTCCTTGCCGAGGTAAGTGAAAACAAAAGTAAATCTATGATTCTTTTTTCAAGTGATGACACTTTAATGAAACAGCACTCTTGGATTGACAAGATTTAAATAATTCATCAGGAAAGGAATCTTAATTTAAAAAAAACAAGATGTGTAATCATGTGTTTGTGAAACACTATGCGCCTGGTGGCAACTAAGTTCGAAAAAAGCTATCTTTAGAATAAAGGTCACAGTCAGGGTCACAAGGTCATTGATCATGGTGTCATCTGAAAGAATTTGATTAGTAGGGTCTACATACTAAATATGAAGTCTATCTCTCAGGATTCAAAAGTTATGGTGAAGGTTCAAAAAAGCTATTTTTAGCATAAAGGTCACAGTCAAGATCACAAGGTCATTGACTTTAGTGTCATTTGAAAGAGCTTCAATAGTGGAGTATTTATACCAAATATGTAGTCTCTATCTTTCATGGTTCAAAAGTTATGGGGAAGGTTAAAGTTTGCAGACATACAGGACAAAAACAATATATGCCCTGGATCTATCAATCCGGGTGCATAAAACCATTAAAATAAAAATTCTTCAAAATTATTGTAGATTCCAATTTATATGTGAGGAATTAATTATCGCATACTGTAAACCAACTTTTATTCATGTGCGAGAAATTTTCGCGAAATTCATGACAGCCTCGTCATCACGAATATTTCTTGCTGCGAACTGGTACTTAAAGTCTCTCTGTCTATTTACAACAGATCGAAAAAGGGATGATCATGAAAATTAATCGTCACCAACTAGTTTACTCCTGGTAAATCGTGAATTAAAGTCGTTGCAATAAAAGTTGGTTTACAGTAATTTTGCTTGAAGCATCAGTCGTGAAATACAATTACTTGGTTTTATTTTAATGCATGGTTATTAAATCCATGTAAATTCTCTTAATCAACCGTCCGTTCGCAAATTAACTATTATTCTCGCAATTTGAAGTTAAAGAGCCATCTTGCGATAATAAGTACTAGTGAAAAATTAGGAATTTTCACTATACAAGAGGAAAATATTTATAAAAATATTGCTTTAATTAATCATGATAAGAAGAGCATGTATATTAGAACCTTCAACATACATTTAAGGAATGTTTTTAAGTTCTTCAAAATTACCAGGTATACTCAATATTTTAATTTCTCGGTGCCCCATATTGTTGCATTTTTAGCTCACCACAACTAAGTTGGGGGAGCTTATGTTATACCCTCGGTGTCGGCGTCCCAGGTTAAGGCTAAGTTTTTTGGAGCAGTTTTCTTTTTAAGTACTTCTATGTCCTGTATTGATTAGACATGCATGGAAGATGCATCTAATGTGTTTCATTGTACAAGTCAAAGTTTCAGATGCTGCAATTTCAGCAAAGGAATGACTAGGTTAATGTTCTTGGAGCAGGTTAACATTTTTGGTGCAGTTTTTGGTGTAGGTTTCATTTCCAAGGAACTATAAGACCTATGTTGACCAAACTTGCATGGATGGTACATCTAAGAATGTACACTACCAGACTTGCTTCGGATGCTGAATCTGACCTACATTTTCCGGTTGAGTGAACAGGTTAATGTTTTCGGTGCAGGTCTCATTTCCGAGTAACTAGAAGTCCTTTGTTGACCAAACTTGCATTGATGATACATCTAAGGATGTACACTACCAGACTTGCTTCGGATGCTGAATCTGACCTACATTTTCCGGTTGAGTGAACAGGTTAAATGTTTTTGGTGCGGGTCTCATTTCCAAGGAACTATAAGTCCTATGTTGACCAAACTTGCATGGATGATACATCTTAGGATAAATACTACCAGACTTGCTTCGGATGCTGAATCTGACCTACATTTTCTGGATGAGTGAACAGGTTAAATTTTTTGGGGCAGGTTTCATTTCCAGGTTACAATGAGCCTATAATGACTAAACTTGCATGGATGATACATCTTAGTATGCATACTACCAGACTTGCTTCGAATGCTGAATCTGACCTACATTTTCTGGATGAGTGAACAGGTTAAAGTTTTTGATGCAGGATTCATTTCCAAGTAACTATGAGCTCTTTAATGACCAGACTTGCATGGATGATACATCTAAGGTTGCATTCTACCAGGCTGGCTTCAGATGCTGAATCTGACCTACATCTTTTTCTGGATGAGTGAAGAGGTGAAATTTATATGCAGGTTTCATTTCTAAGTAACTATTTGCCTTATGTTGTGCAAACTCGCATGAATGATACATCTTAGGATGCATACTAATGGACTTGCTACGGATGCTGAATTCGACATACATTTTCCAGATAATGGACCAGGTAAAAGTTATGGGTGCAGTTCTATCACCAAGAAACTATAAGGCTGAAATAAACCAAACTTGCCCAAATGATGCATCAAGGGATGAAACCTCTTAACTCGCTTCAGATGCTGGATTTTGATCACATTTTGATGAAGAACTAGTTTGAAGTTTTTATATAGGTCTATTCCAAAGTACCAGAGCAAAATTGCATAAATTTTGCATTTTTTGGATGTACACTTTTTGATGGGTAATTGTGTGACTTTGCCTTACTTAAAGACAACATTCGTTGAGGTGAGCTCTGTAGTCTCTGATTACCTATGTTTACTCATTGGGATGTCACGTTTAAGCACAAAATTCTCTGTGTATATTTCTACGCACATGTATACATGACAATGGTATTCAAATCAATTTCACAGTTTGCATAGAAAAACACAGCAAATGTAAATATTTTTTATTAAAGTTCCTTGGTCAGATCCATCATCTCAAGTCAAGAGTTTTTGATCTGCTCCACTCCATCAAAAACTATTGACTTGGGAAGATGGGTCAGATCCTGTCCTATAATCTATTTATAGGATTAAGTCAACAACTTAACAGCAATAAAAGGTTAACAACTTCAATTTACCTCAAAAAAAAAAAGAGTGCTAGTACTACATGTTGTCAATTCTGTCCTCCCCCAAATTCTCACTCTGCATGTACACTTTATCTGATACAAAATATTTATAATGTTTTCATTGCCTCCTTTTATGCTCTTATCTCTTCCATAAAGTCATCTTCGCTAGCCAAGGGTTTCTGATAAGTATCTCTCCTCTTTATGAGGAGAGTAGCGTATCAGAAACCCTTGGCTAGTGAAGATGCCATAAAGTCCACATTAAAAGATGTCAGAAAAAAATTTCAAGTGTTGAACAAAGATTTGTAAATAAGATTTGTATGTCTTTTCACAAAACAGTTAAAAAAATTTTTGTTGTTTACAGACTTACCAGTGGAGACAGATCATGGTGACCGTGTTTATTGTTATATGGGGCCTTCGTCTCTCTGGCTACCTGCTGTACAGAATCATCAAGATCGGGGAAGACAATCGGTTTGATGATAAGAGAGAAAACTGTCTTAAATTTGCAGGGTTCTGGACATTCCAGGTGCTACAGATAGTTCATACAATTTTTAGTTATAGACAGTTTGTGCTCAGGTGCAGTAACATAATCATAAAAATATGATAAACATTTCTCATAAAAAGGCATTAAGATTCTTCTGAAAGCCATTTTAACCAGTGGAATAGACTATAGCTTCCAATATAGCATTCTCATTGTTTTGTTTTTAAAACAGAAATGTATACATTATTTCTTGTCAAAACAAACATAAAAACATTTTTGCATATGGGATAAATAGATATTACATGGTACCAAATATATCAAATACCAAATTTTTATCTTTACAGGTATTTGACCTAATTACTTTTCTGTTTCTTTTTACAGGCCTTTTGGGTGTTTACAGTCAGCCTGCCTGTAATATTTGTTAATGCCCCAGACAGTGCCACGTTTCTGACTCCCCATGATGACTGGACGCCACAAGACATTATTGGTGCATTCCTCTTTGTCACAGGACTACTGATTGAAACTTTTGCTGATTTCCAGAAGTTTGGCTTCAGGAATGACCCAGCCAACAAAGGAAAATGGTGTGATAAAGGTAGGGACCTGCTTTACAAATGATATTCCTCTGCAATGGATATTCATAATCATGGATACAACTACCTGCATTCTGCTTACTAGAACACAGGCAGTCTTGTTATGAGTTGTACTGTCAAAATGTAGTACATTGTATTTACATGGGTTTGCTGGAACAGTTAGAAAATCGTACAATTGATCACTGATTATTGTAGGTGTGTGGAAGGTGTCTCGTCACCCGAATTATTTTGGTGAAATCATCATCTGGATAGGGATGTTTATCATTAGTACCAGTATCTGCGTAGATGGGAAGTGGGCGGGAGTTCTGAGTCCATTGTTTACCATGGCCATCCTACTCTTCCTCAGTGGAATCCCACTCCTGGAGAAAAAGTCCGACGAAAGATATAGAAAGTAAGCTTAACTTAGTAGCCTTAGAAAACTCTGACGAGAGATATAGAAACTAAGTCGAACATGTCTAATGAGATATAGAAAGTAAGCTTAACTTAGTAGCCTTAGAAAGTCTGACGAGAGATAAAGAAAGTAAGTCAAACAAATCAGCCTTAATTCTGTTTAGAGACATTGAAAGCAAGTCAAAGTGTTCGTCCTGAGAAGGTAATAAAAAATAGTTTTGAAAATGTCTAAGCCTTTAAAACAAATTGTGAAATTAGATGACAGATATATGAATGATGTTTGCAAGGTAATGTGGTTAGAAAAGAACCACAGTATTAAATCTATGGTACATGTATTAAGACAAACAATATTCTGTGTAGCTCCTGCATAAGAAAATCAACCAATTTGATTACTTATTTTTACTTCATTCATGTATTTTCACGTTATTTTATTTGATATTAGATTTTAGTGAAGCATATAGAAAGTAAGCATATATTTTCTTTGTTTTATTTTTACAGGAATGAAATCTACTTAGAATACAAGAAAAGGACTAGTCCTCTAATCCCTGTCCCCCCTCCATGTTACGGCTGTCTCCCGGGGGCCTTTAAGTGTCTGTGTTGTTGTGAGTTTCCACTCTATAATTATTTGGACCCAGAAGATGAAAAGGTCAGCATTAAATCTGGGAGTGATAAATCTAACCAAGAAAGTGAGAAGATTTAATTTATAGGATTTGTAACATATAAACAACATTCTTCACAATTGAAATAAAGGTTTGAAGGCTGAGAGGGGAGTTATGTGAAGAAAATCTACCTCTGAAGTGTTGTCAAGTATGTCTACCTGCAATCTTATCTTAAATTTGCCATATTTATGTATATTGTCTCATTGTAGTCCTATCCATTGTTATTATTTAATATACATTAATTTACTCTTTTTATCATTAGAAATAATGTTAGTTTGTTGGATTCTTACATTGAAGGTGCTACAGAATTAAAAAAAAAATACTATGTACCCTATAACTTTTTCAAGAAATTTAATTTTTTTTTTCACGCCAATCTTTTTAGAATATGAAGTCAAGTACATGAATATGTAAATGCATCATGGACATTATATGAAAATATTACACTTCTAAATTTCTTTGCGAAAGATAAAACTACAAATACATTTAGTAAAAGTACTTAACTACTACATTAACATGATAAAGCTACTGATTCATTGATAAGCGTGGTTTACAAAAATTTGTGTGCGAGGGGGGACTGGATGAAGAAAGAGACAGTAGGTGGGACTTGTAGCATATAAATTTACAGAATCAAGAGCATGTAAATAAATATATGGAATGACACTCAGATCTTTTGGTTTCAGAACAATGATCTTGAAAGAAATTGGTGTGTATGATGAATTATCTTACAAGCCAATCGCTTGATCATATCATGAAACCAAAAATTAGATACCCAGTAGTTATTCCTTAAGTACATACATGTTGTTATCAGGTCAATGTGGAAAGGTTCAATTTTCAATTTTATTTCTATAAGTTAAATGACATTAGCTTGTAAGACCATGGCTTATAATGTTTTTTTTTTATTTTTTTTGGGGGTGGGGTGGGGGTTAGTAGCAGAATAGGAACCCTGAGATACTGCCTGTCAAAATTAATTGAATTTATTCACTCAGCAAATGCATATGAATGAAAGCATTTCTAAATGGTATAATAATCACATCAGAAAAGTATACAGAATTGTACATGTAAGTCTTGTTTTTTACCATCAAAATATAAGGAAAAGATCTCTAAAACCTTACATCTTTATATTCTTGAGTCCAATCTGTGTCCTTGTATGTTTTTATCTTAAATAAATGAACAATTGTATTTTCATGCATTGTATTTTTGTATTTTTGAGCTAGTTTTATTTTATTTAATAAAATTGTATTGATGCCATTTTGTGTCTGTATTATATGGTTTATGGTCACCTGAGTTATTTATATAATGCACTTGTAAGGACAAATGGAAAATTATTATCAACTAACATCAAGACTTGCAGAAAAGGGAGGGGTTGGGGGTTAAGAAGGAAAAAAATTAAGTGTTTGTGAAACTGATGCCCCTATATAAGAAGTTATGGTGATGGTTGAAGTTTCTTGAATGCAACTCAACCTCCAAGGTCATAAATGATATCCAAAGGAAGGTCTTGTCATAAGGAATACACCTGTGAAATATGAAAGCCCTGATACTTACTGTTCTAAAGGAATGGCCAAGGTTAACATATTTTAACAAGAGTCCCATGGGCCTTATAGGTCACCTGAGCATCAGGCAACAACTTTCTAACCATTGACTTTGGTTCATGTTATAAGCCAGATGCCATGACATTCACATTATTGAAAGAGGCACCCTTCCTTGCCCTATTATGTATGTAGTTAGTTAATACCCATGAGCAGAGAAGATTTTCAAAGAATTTTAATGCATTTTCACTACCGGTATATAATCAATAAAGCCCAGCCCTAACACTGGAACCCCTGATCCTTGGGCCATGAAATTCACAAATTTGGAAGAGGCACCCTTGGGCGTCATATATATGTATGTAATTATTAGTTTGTTAAATACCCAGCTACTTGTAACCCAGGGGCAGAGGAGAACATTTTCAACGAATTTAAAATTCTGTTCACTATATAATCAATAGAGCCCCACCCCAACACCAGAACCCCTAATCCTGGGGCAATGAAATTCACAGTTATAGAAGTAGAACCCCTTGCTCATGATAACTATGCAAACTATATTTTAGTTTAATACCAAAGAGCAGAGAAGGTTTTCATAGAAGTAATGCATTTTCACTTTATAATCATAAGAGCCCGTGCTAACACCAAAGACCCCGACCCTGGGGCAAAGAAATTCAAAATTTTGAAATACCCAAAAACAGAGAAGAATATATTTTCAAAATATTGACACAGATTCACTATACATGTATCATTAATAGAACACCGCCCTAATGCCTGGGTTCAAGGCAATAAAACTTACATGAGATCATTTTTGATCTCAGTCTCACTTTTCCAAAAGGAATATATCTAAGTTTTATTACCCAAGGGCCAGAACCCCTGACCCTGGATTCATGAAATTCGCAATTTTAGAAGAGGCATATTTCTTCATTATAACATTGTATGTAGCAACTAGCAAGTTTATTTAATATGCAGGAGAAGAGGAGAAGAATTTCAAAGATTTGATGCATATTTACTATATAATCAATAGAACCTCGCCCTAACACCAGACCCCCGGACCCTGGGGCCTTGAAATTCACGAATTTGGAAGAGGTACTTTTGCTTATCATAACGGTATATGTACATGTAGTTAGTTTGTTTAATACTTAAGAGCAGAGTAGAAGACTTTCAAAGCATTACTGCATATTCACGATATAATCAATAGAGACCCGCCCTGACACCTGAACCCCTGCCCCAGGGGCCATAAAAATTCACATTTTTTGAACGAAGTACAGTAAAATCATATAATTGTATTTTCAAGGAGTCCAATTTTCGTGGTTTGAGGAAAATATAGTGGTTCATGGGGATTTGAATTCGTGGTTGAAGAATTGTTCATTAGTAATGCAAGTGTAAAATTGCATTTCGTGGTGGACATAAAATCGTGGGTCTCTTCATACATTGAAAACCACGAAAATTAACCTCCCACGAAAATAAGTGATTTCACAGTACCCTTGCTCAACATAATTATGTACTTATATCAGTCTATTTTCAAAATACTCAGGAACAGAGAAGATTTTCAAAGAATTATTGCATTTTAAGTATGATCATTAGAGCCCTGTCCTAACACTAGAACCCCTGTCCCAGGGGATATGAATTTCACAATTTTGGTAGATGGCTCAATGCTGATTACAATCATGCCAAAAGTTTGACTTCTTGATGTCCAGGAGAAAAGTATTAGTCACATTATCCAGCGATGGGGTATACGATGAGAAATCAATGCGTTTTTTGATAAAAAAAATGGCGAGGTTGCCGGCCGGACTTTTATAGTAATCGGACAGTGACTGAGGCCATTTGGCGAATCGGTGGGGGGTCATCGGTAGAAAATAAGTTGTAGTTAAATCAGCGATGTCTCTACCGATGCCTCACATCACCCCTCATCGGCAATTCATCATTAACACATCTTTCAAGGATCGACCGATGTATGGCCGAGCATCGTCAAATGTCCGTTGAATCTGAGGTCATTGGGGGGTTGAGTGGTGGGCAACAGACATCGGCCGATCATCACCAAACACAGGCCCATAGTCGACCGACGTACGAACAATGTTCACCAATGTATGAGTAATGTAATGTACATTGGACGATTACCCTGGAACATTGTTTTATAATTAGCAATGCATCGCTGGGCCATTGTAAGTCAGGTCGGCAACTACACCATTTTTATCAAAAAACGCATTGGTTGTCCATCGTATACCCCATTGCTCGATAATATGACTGATACTTTAAGGACTACGAGGCCGATGTGGACTGATGTTAAACACTTCAGAATCTACACTACCCCAGGAAGCTTCCACATAAGTTTCAGCTTTTCTGGCCTAGTGGTTCTTGAGAAGAAGATTTTTAAAGATTTTTCCTATACATTTCTATGTGAAACTTTGATTCCCCATTGTGGCCCCGCCCAACCCCCGGGGTCATGATTTGAACAATTTAGAATCTACCGTATAACACTAACCCAGGATGCTTCCACATACGTTTCAGCTTTTCTGGCCCAGTGGTTCTTGAGAAGATTATTTAAAAAATTTTCCTACATATTTCTATGTAAAATTTTGAATCCCTATTGTGGCCCCGCCAAACCCTCGGGGGTCATGGTTTGAACAATTTAGAATTTATACTACCTTAGGATGCTTTCACATAAGTTTCAGCTTTTCTGGCCCAGTGGTTCTTGAGAAGATTTTCCCTATATATTTCTATGTAAAAATTTGATTCACCATTGTGGCTCTGCCCAACCCCCGGGGGTCATGGTTTGAACAATTTAGAATCTACTCTACCCCATGCAGGATGCTTCCACATAAGTTTCAGCTTTTCTGGCCCAGTGGTTCTTGAGAAGAAGATTTTTAAAGATTGTTCCTTTACATGTATATTTCTTTGTAAAACTTTGATTCACCATTGTGGCCCCGCCCTATCCCCGGGGTCATGATTTGAACAATTTAGAATCTACACTACCCCAGGATGCTTCCACATAAGCTTCAGCTTTTCCGGCCCAGTGGTTCTTGGGAAGATTTTTTTAATGACCCCACCTTTTTTTGTCTTCTCTTGATTATCTCCCCTTGGTGAGGGGACTTGGCCCTTCATTTTAACAATCTAAGTTCCCCTTTACCCAAGGATGCTTTGTACCAAGATTGGTCAAAATTGGCCCAGTGGTTCTTGAGAAGAAGTCGAAAATGTAAAAAGTTTACAGACGGACAGACAGACGGACAGCTAGACGGACGACGAACAAAATGCGATCAGAAAAGCTCACTTGCGCCTTCGGCTCAGGTGAGCTAAACATGGAATCTGAACCCATTCAATATGAAAATCGAATATTTCTGAAAAAAATTACGCGTCAACACACCCGTTCATTTAAATCACACTGACAGACATTGGTAATGCATATACTTCGTAGCGTAGTGGTTCAAGCAGTCGGTCTTGGACCAAACCTTGCGCGATGGAGAGGGTTCGAATCATTCGTGAAGCTTTTTATTTTTTGTTTTCACATATCTTAAAAACATGAGTGAAAAATAAATTATTAATAAAATATTAAAACAACGAAATACAGAATTAAATGTGTAAAAGATGATATAAACAATATGATTTTGAAAAATATAACTTTTAGAATTGAGAAATGTCTTTTCTCAGAGCGGGGGATTGCCCTTGCCTTATACGCCTCCATTCTTTGTAAGGAAATAACACAGTTTTTATAACTGTTACAAAATACAAAGAGAAATTTATTTGAACATGTTGATTTTACTGTCCTCAAAAGTGTTAATTTGAAATGTTATTTGTAAAGACAATGCGACAAAAACTTTAAAATGGGTAATAAACACTTCAGGTATGTCACTCGTCAGCTTTTTATAAAAGTTCACGCAGAACCTCTTACTTCAAAACTATTTATTCTAATTCAATTATGTTAATTGTTCAACGTTCAATGAAAAAACTGCTCAAAAATCACAAAGAAGCAAGACTTATTGGGGACTATTTCTTGTGGTGGAAGGATATTTTGCAGAAAATTCTGCAATTCTGCACATATATTAAATTAATATCTTGGAAATTTAGCCTCACATACTTTTACTCGGAGAATATTTTCTGTTATGATATGCAAGGAATATTTAACATGTCTTAATTCATATTCTCAGAACAAATTTTACAACTTCCCTCAACAAACTTTGCAGAGAAATGAAGATATGCTAAAGAAGTCAAGATAAAATTTTGACTGTTTTTTGCCTGAAAATCACATATTTTGACCAATATTTCAAAATCAACGTGATATCACTGACCCCAACTTTTTCTTTCATTATTTTAAACTACTCGATACTTGTGACTGATCAGCACATAAGTCGTAAAAAGTTTGATACAAGAAAATATTTTAATGCCTATTTAGATTTTTAATACCCAAAATATGTTACTTTTTCAGTGCAAAAAGGTCACACAATAATTTTCGCGCATTAGTTTACAAGATTTGTTCAATGATAAATATTATTCAAACTGTTTTACGTAAAATAAGATTATATTTATTGCTATGGTTCCATCTGATAAAATATGATAAAGGTTAAAATAATTAACCAAAGAGTTAAAATTTAAGTGCAAAAAGGTCAACTTAATTGTACCGTAGCTCAGTAAGATGCACACTGACCCCCTATTATATATTATTCATGCCTTGGCTGTATTGTTCTTGATTGAATATTTATTTAGTTTCTTTTCAAATCTACAGTGTATTAAAATTTGATATCACAGAGCATCATAAAAGCTCACTTAAGCCTGAGCTTCGGTTCAAGTTGGGCTAAAAATAATCACATACAAGTAAATATTTGTATGATACAGCAATATTATATCATAATAAATAGAACTCCCTTAAAATCGAACCATGCTCAAATTACCGCATATGGTTCCTAATCAATTGACGATTGATGCGTCCGACCCCTTCTGTATTATCGATTGTATGTATTAACCAGGGAAAAGTAAGTACTGCAGTTCGAGGTCATTTTAAATGACAACCTAATCCTTCGGTGACATGGAGTCAAGGGTTTGTGTTTTGGGAGCTGGAGTGATAGGCTTGTCAGCTGCTGTGAACGTGCAACTCTTGATCCCAGGCGTGGACATTACTATACTAGCTGATGAATTTGAAGCAGAAACTACCAGCGACGGGGCAGCGGGGCATTTTGGGATTACGAAGGAGCGGACAAATTCGGACATCAACAATTTAATGTAGGTTTGTTTCAAAAGAACAATATAATAAATCATAAGTTACTTTCTAATTCTTATAAATACACTCTTCTTGTTCATTAATTCGATGTAGCCGCTGGGCCAGGGATTCTTTTGAATGGTACCACAGAATATGTATATCTGAAGATGCCAATATCGCCGGAATTCACAGATTCCATGGTTACCAGCTGTGGAGATCAGCGAAACCGGTAAGCAAACATAGTGTATGCAAGTCAGTCACTGCAGACGACGTTACTTATCTCGTAAGAAACAATGCATGTTTCCGTATTAACCGGAAAATCAAAGTAAATATGTCGTCGGCCGACTTGGTTGTTTTCTTCCTTAAAGAAAATTTTGAGTAAAATAATTTACTAATTGAAAGTACGTCCAATGCCGTTTGCATCAATATTTGGGACATATGAACAAAGTTACGCAAAAACAAAATACATGTATCTTGGAAAAAATGTTCATGATCACATTCTTTTACACAAATTCTACGATAAAGAACGATGTGCAATTTCACGCTAAAAAAAAAAGGCAGATAAAAAATCTTCCCGGTGAAGCATTCTATACATAAAAAAATATTTGCCTGGGTATTAATCATAAACAAGAGGCCAACTGGCCTTATAGGTCACCTGAGTATCATGTAACAAGTTTCAAACAATTGAATTTGATTCGTGTTTTAAACCAGATGCCATAAAATTCACAATTTTTGAAAGAGGCACCATTGCTTATCATAACCAAACACATAGCATGCTTACTTTGGTTACTTAATACCCAGAGGTAGATCAGAGTACCAAAGAGAAAATGCATTTCCACTTTATAACCAGTTGAGCACCCCATCCCTTAGGAACCACTGACCCCGGGGCCACATATTTCAAAATTTTGGAAATTTATCATAAATTTTATTTCATCATAAATTGTTGACATAAATTCTATTTCATGATAAATTGTTGATTAATAACAAAGTGCAGATTTCAAAGCATTAATTTATTTTCAGACTATGTAACCCCACCCTTCCAAGTACTCCTGACCAAGGGGGCCTGTATATTAACCATTTTAGAATAGGCAGCTATCTTCATCATAAATATGTACTTAGATCATTGGCAAAATACCCAGGAGCAAAGGAAAAGATTTTCAAAGAATCCCTGCATTTTCACTATACATGTATAAACATTAGCGTCCCGCTCTAACACAAGAAGACCTGACCCAGGGGCCCTGAAATTCACAAATCTCAAAGAGGCATCCTTCCTCATCATAACTAGGTTCATACAACTAGTTCATTGGTTTGATACCCAGGCAAAGAAAATTTTTAAAGAATTTATGCATTTTCACTACATAATCAATAGAGCCCCACCTTACAAAAGAACCCCTGACCCTGGGGCCATGCAATTTACAATTTTGGAAGATGCACTCTTGGTCATCATAACTATGTACTTGCTTTGTTTATAAAATACCCAGAAACAAGAAAGGAGATAATCAAAGAAATAATGCATTTTCACTGTATAATCTATATAGCCCCGCCCTAACACCAGAACCCCTGACCCTGGGGCCATGAAATTCAATTTGTCAAGCTGAAGGCCATATCAAAACAGTGTTTTTTTTCCTTGTCATATAGAAGTTTCTGAAATTATGCTTCACGGGAATATACAACAGGTCAGCTTGTAAAGGGGCACATGTAGTGCCCATCGGAATTTCGACACTTTGTTAGATGATTTGGTCTCCAAAATATTCCACTGACCAGCATCCTTACAATATATCATTCAGAGTATGTCCAAAAATCCAGAGTACTTGTGTGTAGAATCAGAGTGATTTGTAAAGAAGTAATTTTGCTGATGGCCAATCACAAGATTAAAAAAAAAGATTTCCAATTAATTAAAGAAAGGATTGTCAATGAAGCACACAATAGTAGATTTATAGAAAATCTAGTGAATAAACACGTTACAAACACTGTATACCTTTTCATTTGCCAAGTATTTACATTCTAAAAAGTTTTGTTTAAAGTGTCAATGCTTGTGTTTGCAATAGTGTACATTTATGTTTGCATGTTTTAAATCTCAAATGAGATTCGACTGGGCTAGTTATTTCTGTGAAGACCCAAGTCCAGATATCTCAGCCGGGGTTAATTTGCATATTCCAATGATTACATGTGTTACCTATTGTATATTATACATGTATATACATAAATTAACTCAATTTTTAAAGGGGAGGCGGAGCATATTTTCGACAATAATGGGACTGGTGTCATTTTTTGACCTTCTGTGTATATAAATTTTTGTTTGTGCTGAAATACGTACACTACAATCAGAGTAGCATATAACAAAATACACCATAATCTGATAATATTAATTTTGTTGAAATTTTCAGACTCCATTCCACAGCAAATTTGATTACGCATATCGTAAATTGTCCGTTAGAGAGCTAAAACAACTTCCAGGCAATCATACGTAAGATACATGCATAGATAATTTAAATTTCAACAAGCCTTATTCTAGACGATTTGATTCATAATAAGCTCTTGTCAATACGTTAGCTGGTTACTGATATCGAATTTCAAAAAGACTGTAAATATTTACATTTAATTTATATATTTTTGGCCTTCGACTGATTGTTTTGAATACCATTTTTCTTTATTTACTTTACCTTTAGATATGGTTGGGCGTCGGAAACTTTGATGGTAGAATGCCGACGTTACCTGCCGTGGCTCATGAACAAGTACGTATTGGGCATCAGCAGTAGTCATCAGCTGCAAACATTAATGACTACATTTTTTAAATTATATTTATAATAAATGTAAAGTCCATTTTTTTTTTAAAAATGATACTTAAATGTGTCATTTTTAAGCCGTTTTTTAAATTTGTAGATTTAGAGAGAAAGGTGGCAAAATAGTTTGCCAGAGACTTAGGAACATTAATGAGGTAAACAAAATAAAGACGATGGTAGAAGATCCTAAATTTCACATGGCTTAACCCTTGCATGATCTCAATATAACTGATTTTTTTAAAAGTCATTATTGTTGCGTTTTGTCTACTTTTTAGTATGGGAAATATTTTAGCAAAAGACTAACGAAGTCCTGCAGATGTGTATTTAGGGTTTTGAAAATCTGCTCTGTTGCCATTGGCTTTTTCTACATACATTTCATGGCCTCTGGTTTAAAACATGAATCAAATTTAATTGTTGAACAGTGGCTGGTTTAAAGTGGGGGGGCCACTTACCTGAAAAAGTTGCAAATTTAATTATTTCGTTGTCAACTACTTTTAGTACCAATTTTTATACTATATTTTCGGGACATTTCTACATGTGGGGGGGCCAACCAGGCTTTCAATTAACATTTCCTATAGTGTAAGTTAGGTTGGTACCTATCGCCCCTGTTGAAAAGTTGTAACATGATACTCAGGTGACCTATCAGGCCCGTGGGCCTCTTGTTGAGTATCTAAATTCATAAACGTGCAAACAGGTTGCACAGGTATTGATGCATACTTCATACATTTATTTCAAGCCTAACATTGACCAACTTAGATGTTGTATCATGGAATGCTTATGTTCGTTTATGCTTTGGATATATGGATGTGACCTACTTTTTACTGAGTGATTTTATAATTATAAATTGATTAGATTGAACAGTTTTACGACGTCATAGTTAACTGCACGGGACTCAGAAGTAGGAATCTGTTCCAGGACAAGGAAATAGTGCCAGTCCGAGGTCACACAATTCGCGTAAGTTTTGGGGTTCTTTCGAATCTTTAACAGAGACATTTTTTGAAACTTTTACACGTGTACAATCAAAATTTCGCCACCTTATCTTGCTTTAGAACACGACTACTGTTGAATTACAAACGTATACCAAAATAAAATGAATAAGCTAATGCAGTAACTATATTAGCATATTTTTGCAGGTGAAGGCGCCATGGATTAAAAGTTTCTACATTGCCGACGATGGTGATACATACATTTACCCAGGGTGACTAGATTTATTTGAAAATCAATAAATAAATTGAATAATGCGTAGGAATGCTGCAAAACTGCCTGTAATTGCCAATTAATGATTAAAAGTGTCTTATTAAATTGCAAATCACAAAACATGCAGTCTCTGGGACGCACTAATTTTCCATTGCTTTTGGTTTTCCACCAAATCATACTTGAATTCGTACCAAATTAATAAATTAAATAGGTTTGAAATGCACAAACCTTACCTTTCATAGTCAGGACAATGTAGTTCTTGGTGGAACTCGGCAACGAGGCGAGGAGAGATTAGAGAAAGACCAAAGGTACTATGACGACATCATGAGGCGATGTTGTAATCTAGTTCCTTCACTCAAACACGCGGAGATCGAGCGTACCTGGGTAGGACTAAGACCTTGGAGATCGGGAGGGGTACGACTGGAAGTGGAGACCATTCCTGTCAGAGGCAGGCCTGTTCCTGTAGGTGACAAGTATTTACGTCTACATCAACTTCCGTCTGAAATACTGTTAGGCACCTATATTTTTCTTAAACTTCTTTTGGATATTTCGTTAATAATTGTAAAACTTTACGTACCTGATGATTCAATGTAAATTTTTTTTTACTGCAGGTGGTGCATAATTACGGACATGGATCAGATGGAGTCTGTCTAAGCTGGGGGTGTGGAGTACATGCAGCATGTCTTGTTAAACAACAGCTTAATCAACAAAATGCTCATCAGAAACTCTCCAAGTTATGAAACAAGGAATCAAACCAAGTCCAGATACCGGGTATTTAATTATCCAGTTGTTGATGATTATATCAGAATTATGCTGAATGTATCACTGATGTTTTACTTAAGAATCAAGATTGCTTTTTTTCCCTCATAAAACTTATAAAACTATGCAATTTTTTTTTAACTATAGGCAAGTTTTCCCAAAATTGATGTTTTTTACTTTATGACTGCGTATAAACCTGAAGTTGAATAACTGTTTATCAAATCTGAAAAACTGTTAAATAAATATCCAAATACTGAATAATTCATACCGAATAAAAAGAGCGAAGGCAAATTTGACTGGCATTTGAAAGAAATCTAGAAACTTTTGACAAGTGAACAATTTTCTAATCTATTGGGTTCCTGTGAAACAAATATTTTGAGTTTTATAATAAATTATTTATGATCACTGACTCAAGTGTATTTTAAAGCCTTGAAAATATAAATGTGTATTTTATGATAAAGGAATTCTATGAATTCTGTACTAATTTATAATTATCATCTGGACTTCCAGATTTTGGATAAATTTTACGAAGCAGGAACTTGCCTATTCCCTCAGACTGACATGCTATTGTTTTTATATTTCATTTACAAGAGGTTTATAGTATCTATGCATACTAGTATATTATCAGCTTAAAAGCAATGTTTTACATATTATGTTATTAAAACTTATTGTGTGACTGTACAAAGTGTGATTTATAGGAAGTATTTGATTCACATGTTAATTAAATAACAGACCCTAACAGGAGATTTATTTTATATATGCATTCAATCAAAAGCAAAAATAACCCTGTAACAATAGCAAAAAAAAAAAAGCAGATGGTACTGTCAGAAAATAAATGGCAGAAAAACAAGAAGGCCAATATTTAGATCCCCTAAATTGGTTTTGCTGATTAGAAACATATATATGCAGCACTGTCTCACACATTGGTAATATCTGATAATTATTGTAGTCAATAAAACTTATCAATTTCTGAACAGTTAGTTTTGCATTTGTTTTATTGATATCGAAAACATTTTGTAACTACTGTGAAAGAAGATAACAATACTCTGTAGACATCAGCGAAATCAATAATACAGAAGTTCTACTCTCTACAGTGAAACCAGGCCTTAAACACAAAACAATACTGAAAGTAGAACTAACAACAACATTTTAACCATAGTCATAAACAAAGATCTTGTAAGTTAATGCCTTTTTTGACATGTCAATCCTTTTATGACATGTAAATTCTTCTTGCACGAATTCACAACCTATGTAGATATTGTCTCTATGGAAAGCCACAGACTTCAACTGCATTACAGTAATACTATACAGTCTTCCATGTTGATGTTGAATTGCGATCACTTGTAGTTGAATTTCACCTTCACAAGATACTTCATTTTGATCTGTTTGGTGTCATACACTATGAATTCATTGTAATTCAGTGTGTAACCATTAGGATTTTTCACATTCGTGTTCTTACTCTTTCCTAGAGGAACAATCGTCCCATCAGGCCTGAAATGAAAGTAAACATTCTCAGATTTTCAAAAAGGTTTAAGAAAATAGTTTACACTAAATATTTAGCAAATTAAGAAAGATGTCATGGTATTGAGAATAAAAGGATGTTAAATCACACTCCCCAAAGCAAATTTACTCTAACAGACATGAAAAATCGGGTAACACAGAAAGGCCTTTTCTGAGGATAGACTTAGAATACCCATGTATCAAACTTTACAATCAAAGGAAAACAAACAGAGGCCCATGGGTCACATTGCTCACAACTGTCAACATTCTCTTTCTGATAATTTGTACATGCATCCTCTTTTTTTTCAATATGGTACATGTACAGAATAGATGGACTTTGAATGTATTATTTGGGTTGCAGCCACCTCTCTGTTTCTCCTTACTAATGATAAAGAGCACACACACACAGTCCTTGTGGTATATATCTATACTTACTTTTCAGTCTAAGATTAATTCAGACTAAATACTGTTGTCAAATTACAAGCTATCTCATATTCAGAGAATTGTATTTTAATCTGTATCTAAAATCACATGTAAATCTCCATATTGTTGTTCGAGTACAAGCTACGTGTACATGTGTGCCATACTTCCATTATTTATACTGATGTTAAGCTCTGTATTGCTTTGAGATAACAACCTTTGTCATACTTACAGAGTTTTATGTTTAGTGGGGTCTGGGGCCACGGCTCCTAAGCCTTTAACGCTGTGTTTTCCTGGGGGTAATTTATCTGCTTTGTAGTCTGCTGCCAGTAAATCATTTGTGGTTCCCAGGGACACCTGATCAAAGGAAAAGGGACGTGCCATTAAGAGATTAGTAAGAAAATATATTAATAGAATTATCATATAGAAAGGAGCTAATAAATGAAAAATATTATTTAAGATTTATACTAATATATGGAAATAACTTTTAGAACAGAAACACTGTACTTGCTTTGGGTAAAACACCATTAAATATTTGAAAATACATTTTACTTGATTTTTTTATTGGGTGTATTATAATGAAAAGTATGTAGAGGAAATAATTATCATACCTCACACAGGAGTAATAAACCAATGTTTTTAGATCTTGTTGTAAAACAGTAGTTGGCACTTTTACTTGACATATCAGCAAAGTACACACCTTTTCCAAACTACAATAGAAGACACTAGTTAGTGTCTATTCACTTCATATACAGTAAAACTCGTTTAGTACGAACAAGGATATTCACGGATATAGCGAAGTTTTTCTGGGTCCCCGGCAAAATTCTTAACAAATCTTTGTAAAATTTTACGGTTATAACGAACTCTGATATAACGAATTTACGGATATAGCGAACTGATTTTGAGTCCCGTTGAGGTTAAATATAATGAAATTTGCATCTTTTATAACGAACTTTCCAAGATTATAAAAAATTTGATAAATTGAACTGACTTTATTTCCTTTTAGCATTTGTATATAAAATTCATAACTAGAACTGTCCAAACGGGACAAAATACCCCCCGCTGGGTTTTTCAGAAGTAAGTTTTTCCATAATAAAGATATGTATCAAACACGAATTATGAAATTTTTATTCCAGTGACCTTGAACTTCCCCAAATAACCTTGGGTCAAGGTCATGACACACCCTTGGGTCATGGGCAATCTTTCAGTGAAATGAGAACCTACCAAGTTTATCCATAAGAAAGATATGGACCTGACTTGAATTATGAAATTTTTCTTCCAGTGACCTTGAACTTCCCCAAATGACCTTGGGTCAAGGTCATGACACACCCTTAGGTCATGGGCAATCTTTGTGTGAAATGAGAATCTACCAAGTTTATCCATAAGAAAGATATGGACCGGACACAAATTATGATATTTTTCTTCCAGTGACCTTGAACTTCCCCAAATGACCTTGGGTCAAGGTCATGACACACCCTTGGGTCATGGGCAATCTTTGTGTGAAATAAAAACCTACCAAGTTTATCCATAAGAAAGATATGGATCGGACAGGAATTATGAAAATTTTCTTCCAGTGACCTTGAACTTTCCAAAATGACCTTGGGTCAAGGTCATGACACATCCTTGGGTCATGGGCAATCTTTGTGTGAAATGAGAACCTACCAAGTTTATCCATAAAAGATATGTATCAAACATGATTTTTGAAAATTTTCTTCCAGTGACCTTGAACTTTCTCAAATGACCTTGGGTCAAGGTCATGACACACCCTTGGGTCATGGGCAATCTTTGTGTGAAATGAGAACCTACCAAGTTTATCAATAAGAAAGATATGGACCGGACACGAATTATGAAATTTTTCTTCCAGTGACCTTGAACTTCCCCAAATGACCTTGGGTCAAGGTCATGACACACCCTTAGGTCATGAGCAATCTTAGTGTGGAGTAGTAGATTCTAATGTCCCTCTATAAGAAAGATATGGACCGGACACGATTGCACAGACAGACGGACGGACCGACAGACGGACAGACAGACGGACAGACGGACAAGGTGATTCCTATATACCCCCCCAAACTTCGTTTGCGGGGGGTATAATAAAACCTTAGTTATCGAAGATATGTTCTGTAATACTTGCTTCCTTAACATATTTGGTAGTAATACCTGAAGGAAAACATGCATATTGCAAATTCGCTATAATGGTTATACGAATTCGTTATACGGATATAACGAATTATGGATATAGCGAATTAAATTCACTGGTCCCCAGGACTTCGTTATAACCGAGTTTTACTGTATAATATAAATGTATCATATTGGCAACTTGTCTTCCCAGTCTGCTGAAAGCACATACTTTACAAGGATAAAGTTTGAAAAAGAAATGCTAAGCAATTAAAGTTAACATACTGACATTTGAAAAAGGAGATGAAAAATCATTATTAAAGTTAACATATTGACATTTGAAAAAAGAAATGAAAAATCGTCATCAAAATGTAAAAAATACACTGTAGTAAAATTTTTACCATGTAACCTGTAACAGGGGCCTCGGGAGGGGCAATTCTCAGACCTTTAGAGAGGATGCCAACCCAGTTAGTTAAACGAGAACCATGCCATAACAGCATTCTACAAAATTATATAAAAATAGAAAGAAATGCAGTTTATTCACCCTTCAATCCCTGACATCAGGCCTCAAGACCATAAACTGAGAACAGACATAAGTCAAAATTTAGATTTTTGATATTTAATATGAGTATCATTTTAAAAACAAATTTGCTTAAAAATTTGCAGTTCTGTATATTATTTTTATTCAAAGATATAGTGAAAAATTCTTATCATTATCAAAATTATGGAAAAGTTATTTTGTTTTGACCATAAACTGAAAATAGACTCATAAGTCAAAATTTTGATTCTTAATAACTTTAGTTTTATTTAATATCATGTTCTTAAAAATTTGCAGTTAAGTATAATATTTAAATCCAAACAAATGAGGAAAACTGAGTTTCATTTTCAGATGTTTTTCAAAAGTTATTTTGATTTGAAATTTTGACTTAATTAAGTCTCTTCTCAGTTTATGGTCATGGGGCCACTGATTACAAGTGGTCATTTTCTTACTTGTTGCTGTGGTCAACAAACTGTTTTGCTTCATTTTCTTTCTCAACTTCAAACACATCTTCAATTTGCATTTTATACTGGTTGTGTGTAGCTGCATGAGTATTCTGAAGATATTCATTTATCATCTGAAAAGAGAAACACTTCTTCTAAATCCTCAGGAACTAGATTTAGCTGTGTCTGGATTTCAAACATTAGCCTAGTATTCCACACTCTTATTGTCCAAGGATACTTCCTTAGTTTAATGTGAAGCAATATATTCCATTGTCAAAAAATACCATCTTTGATTATTTGAGGTATTAACATGTGTAGGTAATACACTGTATGTGTACTTAAAAAAGCGGGCTTCATATTTTAGCAGCTTTGGCGCAGACACAGATGCGATAATTCATGAATACCGCTAAGTATTCATAAATACAATACACAGCACGGACATCTGTAGCACTAATTCATGATTACATCATTCACAACTCCATACTCGGTGATTACGCTAAAATTTGAATATGCCAATTTATGTACATGTACAGTATGTATTTTTAATATTCAGAAGAATGTTAATGTATACTAGAAATTCTAACCCTGTTTGATGTTGCTCTTTTTACCCTACTTGTAGATGGACAAATTTAAAACAGGGCAAATTCAAAGAACAAGGTATAATTTTTGAAATGGAACTGTGACTGAGCGCATTTAAATTGGAACAAAATTGTTTGCAAGAGTGAAAGGGCTAAAATAACATGGGGTGGAAATTAAACAACCCTGTATACAGAATGTAATATGGAAATTGTTAGTGTAACAGGAAAGGCGAAAATGTATGGCTGGACCAGGAATCGAACCTGGGACCCCTGCATCTCTAGTCAGGTGCTCTACCAATTGAGCTATCCAAGCCGATATCCAAAGCCAAAACCATTACATAACTTCCTCCTTAAATTGTCTTCGCCTTCGAAGACACAAC